ATAAATTACTTAAACTTTAACTGAAATAAAATGAAAACGGAAAACACAAAAATAAACTACTAGTTCTTTATGCAACTGGATCCGGTTCCGCATTTACATTTATGCATTTAGCAGTTTAAATTTACATTATACGTTTTATCCAAATCCAAATTTAATTACGTTTCTTACAAGTGCAAATCTTTCTTGTCAGAAACTCACCTAAATAGTGTATTTATTCGGTATAAATCGTCTGCAACTTACGTTCCACAGTAGAATAGTTAAGTAATAATAGACTAGAGCGATCAGCGACATGTGTTAGTTCTCCGCGCTCTGCCCATGAAGGGTTAGTGAAATCATATCTCCTCGTGGCAGCTCAAGACTTCCAGCCGCATTCACTGAAGCCAAAGAAAGGCTAGAGTTTGACTGGAGGACAGACGCTCTATTTAGGGCTCGAGGAGTCCTCTGCTCGCAGCTGTCAGGCTTCATTCATGCTGATGCTTCACGAAAAACGCCTTTCAATCTAGTGTCACACACTAATCTGAGATGATCTGCTCCGCCAGAAGAGTAATCGTCAAAACTGTTCTCCAGAAGCAAAGTCTTAACCGTTACGACTCAAAGACCTAACGAGATTTCAGATGCAGCAGCTTCTCCGGTCGTTCGCAGGACTCACCAAGTTGTTATCACAAGACTGATGCTTCCACTGGGACAGAGAGACAAGGTGAGGAGCCGCTTTAAATAAGACCGGCTCCCGGGGCCCGGGGCGGAGCATGGGGTTCACACAAGCCCAAATAAGAGCAGGCGAGAAAAAATAAAAACCAGAAAATAACCCTCTCCACCCATGAACCTGATCTCCGGAGTGGGCCTCCCTAAAATTAAGCGCCAGTCATCCACAGCTTGTATCTTTGTTAAATGCTATATAAAATGACACATTTGAATATTTATTGGACGTTAAATAGTGTTTAGATTTGCACCATCCAGCACCCAACTTTAATGCAATGACTATTTAAATGACAAATTGTAATGTGTATATATATATAGTTTAAAATATGTTCATGTGCTTTTATATTTTTCTCTGTAATTAAAAATATTATTTTTATAATGTATATTATCAAGTATATTTTTTGGTACACTAAAAAAATACTTTTTATATTTAGTGTTCATCTGCTTTTATTTTATATTATTATTATTATTATTATACTAAAAATATACTTTTTATATATATATATATATTTTAAAAAATGTTTTTTATATTTTGTATTATACTAAAAAAAAATTTAAATAGCTTTTTATATAGTGGTTTTACTTTATATATATATATATTATTATTATTATTTTTTTTAAATATGTACTTTTTATACTGTTTATCTTTTTGCTTTTTAAGTGCTTTTTTGCTGTTTGCTCTCTTTGCTGGATAAAGGCAGGGTTGTAGCATGCTTTATCACGGTTGGAAATGTGTTGTAAACATCCGTTTGTAGGGTATAATTAAAACACGGCGCATAATCATGTCTTAATTTATCCCCCCAGCTTTCAAATCAGTCCTGCACACAGATCTTCGTCACTCTGGCTGGTTTTTGTCAGGCTTTACGAGGCTATAGTCAGCACTCACTTGATATAATTCTGATTATTCAGCTTTTTACGAACACAGGCTGCCTAAAGATGTCCACCAGCCATAACCGTCTCGTTTTAGTAACATCTTAGAGGCTCCTCGCTCTCTCCAGGATGAATACTGTATATGTCAATGGGCCAGTGTGCTGGCATGTGTGCTCGAACCCTAAATGTGCTTAACAGCTGAGGGGTAACTCTCTCCCCCGTGCCGCGCTCTGATTGGCCGGGATGTAGTAGTAGCTGTGCTCTGATTGGCTTAGCTGTCTCCTTTTAGAGATAGATAAAAAATACAATTATTTGTATTTATTATTCAAATGTAAATCTTTCTATTAATGTGATTAAAATAAAATTATATGTATATATTTATAAAAATTATGCAAATGTTTTTAATTTCATAAACATTTAAAATCAAATTATATGTATTTATAAAAAAATATGCAAATGTGGAGAGTGTATAGTGAATAAGCCAGTTATTTAATACAATTAATTAAAAAATAAAAGAAAATATATTTTTAATTACGTAAAGAAAAGCATAAAATAGAAGGAAATATATACATAATTTGTAATAATTTTTACATTGAATGGAAATTATTCACATTAATTAAGAAATAAATAAAATTGACATCATTTACTCAAATTGGTTTTGAATATATATTATAAAATATTATATATAACACTTCACAATAAGGTTCATTAGTTAACTGCTTTAGTTTACATGAACTGAGAATGAACAATGCTTCTACAGCATTTATTAATCTTAGTTAATGTTAATCTCAACATTTACTAATGCATTATTATAATTCATTAAAAGTTGTGCTTGTTTAAAGGGGTCATATGATGCGATTAAAATTTTTCCTTTCTCTTTGGAGTGTTACAAGCTCTTGGTGCATAAAGAAGAAGATCTGTAAAGTTGCAAAGACTAAAGTCTCAAAACCAAAGAGATATTCTTTATAAAAGTTAAGAGTCAGCCACACCTTCCTAAAACGGATCGTTCTAACACGCCCCCACATGTCTACCTCACTATGTGGGAAGATTTGCATAACGCCGCCCAAATGTTCACGCAAAGAAAGAAGGCGTAACTTTTATTTATCCCCCGGCCTCTGCTCAGTGTAGGCTGCGGTGTGTGACGCTGTTTCGTTGTGAAAGCGAAACTACTTTGTTTGGTCTTCCAAAAGAGGACACGACTAGAAATCAGTGGTTAAGTTGTATTTACAACACTGTTCCAGAACACTTCAACCCAAATATTCAGATGTGTGCAGCACATTTTATGGAGGACTGTCTCCTGATCCTGGGAGAGTAGACTACAATGCCGGCTGTTCTGACTCACAGACTGTAAGGTTTTAATGTTTATATCTCGTCGCTCCGGCCGGACAGGGCAGCACAGTATGGTGAGGGGCGTAACATTTCCGTCACACGCTTGAGGTATTCGGCCAATCACAACGCACTGGACAGCTGGCCAATCACAGCACACCTCGCTTTTCAGAACGATGAGCTTTGTAGAAATCAACGCGTTTCAGAAAGGCGGGGCATAGAGGAGAAACAATAATGTACAGTATGTGGAAAATAATGTGTTTTTTGAACCTTAAACCACAAAAACACATTTCATTACACCAAATACACAACAAAATGTTCTTTTTTAGCAACGTCATATGACCCCTTTAACATTAGTTAATGCACTGTGAACTAACAATGAACGACTGTATTTTCATAAACTAACATTAACAAAGATTAATTCTTTGTTCATTTTAATAAATTAATGTCAGTTTTATTGATTTATTCATTAATAATTCATAATTTATAAATGATTTAATTGTAATTTAATTTTTTTATTTAATTACATAAAAAGAAAATGATAACATAAAAGTAAATTAATTGTAAAATGTTTATTAAATACATTTTTTTAATTGTATTAAATTAATAAGTCAATTAATTACTTAATTTATTTTTTAATGAAAAAAAATTATAATTTAATTAAAAAAAAAAGCTTTTTCATTAACATAGAAAAAGCACGATCTGTTTCTCTCAGTCGTGACGTCAAATATAAAAAGCGTTTAGTTATAATAATAAAGTTTCTCAAATTTCTCGCTCAGAGATCAGAATGACGAGCAGCATGAGCTCGTGATGCAGCATTACTCTCTTCAGCAGCCCTGCAACATGCTTTCTTACAGCACAAACACGCTTTATTGAGTTGTTCATTTCACTTTCTACAGCCCCGCCCACTGAAGTGCTTCGACGTATACATGTGGGCGTGGCAAATGTTAATTAGCTCAATGTATGCATGGGATATACAGTGACTTGTAATGTGTTTTAAAGAACAGAATGTGTTCTGCTCACCAAGGCAGCATTTATTTGATCAAAAATACAGAAAAAACAGTAATATTGTGAAATATTATTGCAATTTAAAACAATGGTTTTCTATTTGAATACACTTTAAAATGTAATTTATTCCTGTGATCATTCAGCATCATTACTAATTATTATTAATATAATATAATAATTATAATAAAATAGGCCCATATGATTTACTTCAATGCTGTGAAAATTAATCATGTTTATATAATAATTTAAAAATAAATATTATAAATGTTGTTTAATATAATAATTAAAAATATAATAAAATAGGCCCATATGATTAACTCCAATGCTGTTATAATTAATATTTATATAATTATTTTAAAAATAAATATTGTATAATGTAATAATAAAATAGGCCCATATGATTTACTTCAATGCTGTGATAATTAATAGTGTTTATATCATTATTTAAATATAAATATTGTATAATATAAATGTGTAGTTGAAGGTGCTGCAAACAGGATGGATAGCATGGCACTGCTTCATGACTCATGTCTTCCTCTTCCTCTTCCTCTCTCAGGTGATGGTCTATGAGTTGGTGGAGCGTTCCTCTGTTTCTGAAGTGTTTGGTGTTGATATGTTTTAGTGATGTACTCAGTTTCAGTATTTCTCTCCACAGCAGAACGAGATCCTTGCAGAAATCCAGAGGAGAGACGAGAAAGAAAGAGGTGGCCAAACTGCTGAGGTCTTGATGTCCCAGATGAATACATTCAGTTTCTGCAACAGAAGAATGAGTATATTAGCTGCTTTAATGTGAAAAACCACCCTGTGTTGAATCTTATAACTGTCCCTGTCATCTTTAATATCAGTGAATAACAGCTAGGCCTGTCGTAGTTATTGATTATTCATCTGATTGTGGTTATTTCATCAAATTTATGATAGCCATGATAATTGGTTACTTGACACTCACACACACACTCTCACACACACACACACACACACACACGCTCTCACCCACAAACAAACAAACCACAAACAAACAAACACACACACACCCACAAACAAACAAACACACACACTCTCTCACACACACACACACACACACACACGCTCTCACCCACAAACAAACAAACCACAAACAAACAAACACACACACACCCACAAACAAACAAACACACACACTCTCTCACACACACACACACACACACACACACACACGCTCTCACCCACAAACAAACAAACCACAAACAAACAAACACACACACACCCACAAACAAACAAACACACACACTCTCTCACACACACACACACACACACACACACACAAACACAAACACTCTCTCATGCACACACACACACACACACAAACACTCTCTCACGCACACACACACACACACACACACACACACACACACACACACACACACACAAACAAACAAACAAACACACACACACACACACACACACACAAACAAACAAACAAACACACACACACACACACCCACAAGCAAACAAACACACACACACTCTCTCACACACACACACACACACACACACACAAACAAACACACACACACACTCTCTCACACACACACACACACACACACACAAACAAACAAACACACACACTCTCTCACACACACACACACACACACACACACACACACACATTTGAGCTTCCGTGTTAATTATTTTTATTAATTATTTGTAATTAATTAAAAATAAAATACATGATTTAATAAAGTGTAAGATTTAAAACTTTTTAAATATATTTAGTCAGGGACAAGAAACAACATAATTCAGTATTATAGCTAAGCAGAATCATGAATATTTCTGTTTTGGTCAATGAACAGTACTTTTTGTTAGT